TATTATATTATATTATATTATCATATTTTTATTTTTCCTATATAACAGCAGAAGTAGTTATATATAGTTCTGTGACCGAAAAAAAAGCATTTTATAAACATAAAATATAATTACTTAGGTGAAGTCCCTTTCCCCTGTCTCCACATGAGGAGATGAGATCCAAATAGAGCAGAGATTGCTGCTTGTGGTTGTCATAAATGGTTTCTGTAGGTCCCAGCTGTGAGGTAAAGGTAATGTATGTCTCATAGTCATCCTCTGTACCCATTCCTAGCTCCAGCTGTTCCAGTGCTTGGGTTAATCTGGAAAGCCACACCAGTGACTGGAACATCAGTTGCACGTGATCAAAACACAGATAGGAAAAGAGTTGTTAGTAAATGAAAAATAGATTATAGAACCAAGATAATTCTATAAACAATAATTTTCATTTATTTTAATTGGAAATAGAGGTGGGGGCTGAGAACAGGAGAGCAAGGTGGCTAAAGCACCAAGCATCAAGTTCTTTAAAGTAAGTTCTCTTAACTCAGGAGCCTGGGAAGTGAATTCAGTAACGCGTGGGATATCAGGCTGGGAATTTGTGGCATCAGCCTGTCTCTGTCTGTGAGAAGTGTGAGTTAGGTGTGATTATGTGTGACCATTCCTTGTGGGGTACTGGTGTGTGCAACGTGAGCTCTCTCCCCAGCCTGGGGCTGCTACATCTCTGCAGAAAAGTGGCACGAAGTGGTTGGGATAATTAATGATATTTATGCAGCATGAGGGCACTGAATGTGAGAATTGATGGGAATCTAATGTGCACTGAAGAAAAGCCCAAGCTGCTGTCCCTCTTAGCAGAGTTTGCAGCCAGGCCATGGAGAAATTCTCCACTTCAGGTGAGGCCACTGCTGGCTGTGTCACTGCAGTGTCCTGTCCTGAGAGCACTGGCAAGATGGCACTGATAACACAGATTTTACATAGATAAATGATTCTTTTTCCCTTGATAGTGAAAAGTCAGTGAGGCCAATAAGAGATTGGAAAATCCTTGTTTTGATGTGTGTCTTGAGTCCTCGTATGTGAACGAACAGACGCAAGGATACACTTGTAGGTTTGTTTCTAAGATTGTGACACCCTCTGCTGGTAAATACATGAATGTATAAAGCAGCTTTGCACAAGCAGCTTTGCAATCAGGGCGGAAACATCCCCTTAACAAAACAGGGTTCTTTCTGTCAAAAAGGTTTCCTCTTACAAATGTAACATTGTCAAAAGAGAAGTGTTTCATAGTGACCTATCAATTTTGACAAAGTTTTCATGGGAAAATGATGTTTTTTCTGGATGAGTTAAATTTACTTTGAAGTAAAAATGCTTTAACATTACAGAGAAAAATGGTGATTTTTTTTTCCTGGATTCATGCAGTATTTCATTAGCCACACACCGTTATGTTTTATGCCTGGCACAGAAGCAGGTGATAACCTTCTCCTGTAAGTCTGCATGGCAATATGTTATTGATCATGATTCATTTACTTACCAAAGGTATTTGGCAGCAAGGCTGCCCTGATTTAATAGTTCCCTGAACTTCTGATTCTTTTTTCCATCTTTGTTTTCCTAACTTTTCTGTCTTATAATATAAAAACGTTGAAAGTTTTGGAAAGGGCTGGTGAGGGCTATAAGCCCAGAAGCAAACATGCTCATGCCATATCAAAGTCCCACCACTTTTAAGCTTCTTGAAAGGGAAGGAATTGGTTCCAGATTCTCAGGATGTGGCAAGCTGTGTTTAAAGAAAATGTGTGCATTTATTATTTCAAGTCAGTTCAATCAGAACTTGATTCCTTCCACCCCCTGTGCCACTTGATAATTTTATAACAGGCCTGTTTGAAGGAGTCATCTCCTCATTGTGGGATTAGATCTGTGTCTCACTAGCACCACTGGATTATTCAGTTCTCTGGCTGCTGTCACCAGGCTTCACCCCTTGTGCCTGAAATGACAAGTGCTCATTCACACATGAACAGGAGTCCTTGGGAGGGTTCAGTGCAGTAGTCTTGAAAATTATTTCCTGGGTTCTCTTACTCAAGTTTTCATGGCCAATTTGAGAGTTTTTGGTTGCTTAGTGATTGTTTAATATCAAGAAGGAGGTCTTGTCTGAGCACAGGAAAGCAAACTGAGGTCTTGTGTGTTTACTTTGGTTCCTCTGGTTGATGCTGAGCAAGTCACTCATGCTCTGTACAGTCACCAGGGAAGCAACAATTTATTCATTCATTGGAGGAGGATGAAATATAATTAATTGGAATGTTGTGTACACAGTCAGCATCCTGCTTATTATT